ACTCTAAGCTAATATATGTCTGTGCCTCAACTAGAGCTATTTAAATTGAGACCGTTTTCCAATTCATCATTCATGCTAACATTTAGTAGATCTACTATCCAAAAAGTTGGGTTCGAGAACGCTAATTTCGAATTATATAAGAAGATAATAAAATAGAGAATGGAAACGGGGAATGTGTCAAAGACACAAAAACCCTACCAAAGAGCAGAAAACAGCTCAAAGCCACCAATGGGTCTTCAACGTAGCGAGAAAATTCCGAACCCGGAGGCGGGTTTCAGCTGGCCCCTAAACAATAAGTATACTAGTTTAGCAAAACGGACGCCACACTAAACTCCGAAACATACAAATGAACCAAAATCTAACAAAAACACACGAAACTAACAAAGGCTGAAGGTTCCTGACTTGGGACGGGCACAAAAATGCGGCGGGATTGAACTGTTTTGTTTATATCTCAATCCTCCCCTATACCTCTAGCCAATTTGGAATAAACAAACACACAGCAATACGCACAGTAAAAATCAGTTTAATTAATAGAAGTCCGAGTCCGATGTTAGAATAGGTAACAGAAGAAACTAAGCAAAATGACAATGATCAAAATAAGTTAACAAAGGACTACTAGCAGTTACTGGCATGCCAGCTCCGGGCCTCAATTAAATTGATCGAAAGGTTATGTCTTCATCATATGAAAATCTGCCACAATTCCTCCCGTTAGGGGTTTTGTATCATGCCATCATAGATTATACGAAAGGATTCACCCTTGTGAATAAGTCTGTTTAAAGGTTTGGTTAGCTTTTGATGTGAATGACGATATTTTGTGCCTTGTGTATAATTAGCATAAAAGTTAGGATGTGAAATACCTCAACGTATAAGATGTTTGCACGTTTGTGTATGATTACCGATTAGACAACTATCAGCCAGAGATGAAACGGTGGAGATGTAAGCATTTATAAGTCACCGCAAAATGTTTTAAAATGAGCAAAACCCATACCGTATGGTAAGAGAAAGGCGAAAGATACCAAATGGACATTCAAACTCATAAGACGAAAATAATCTGACAACGCCATGGCTAAAAAAGAAAAAGACAAACAGACAAACACCAGTACACATAGCACAACATAGAAAACAAAAGACTGAGCAACACGGACCCCACCACAGTTACTGAAAGCTAGTTCAAAGTCAGTTTCAACTGATAAACGAATCATATCCCCCAGACTAAAAATTCAATCTGTACATATCCAATAGATTTAGTGTAAAGACATCGTGAACAGTTTGTTGACAAACACGTCCGTATATAATGCCAACATATAAGTATTTCCATTGGGTCGATACCATGTTTCCCTTGATTTACTACCATTTGGCGACACCACTAATGGTGGACTGTTAGTGCACGAGGGTCTGATTCAACGAGTTGTCAATGTTTCCTTTTGGTTTACTACCATTGGGTCAATACTATTGATGATGGAATGTTATCATTCAACCAGTGGTCAATGTTCCCTTTGATTTACCACAAAAACGGTGATACCCCTGATATTAACTGTTAATCCACGAGTGTGTTATTCACACAGTAGTCAATGTTTCCCTTCATTTGCTACAATTTAATCCATTAGTCAAAGAGGATAGCTATAAAACCAAGTTTAACCCACCACTTTCTTCTGGAAAAACCTGTACTAAGACAGGAATATGACAGTTGTATTCAATTCGATCCATTGGTGGATATTGTCTAACGTTTGATTTTGTCAGTCTTTATGGATTTCCCCCTTTTTTAATATACCTTGGAGTTCGGTATTTTTGTTAATACTTTTTCACCCAGTAGTCAATTGTTCCCTTAAACTTGCTACCACTGGGTATATATACTCTGATGATGAACTGTTGGTCAACGAGGGTATAACTCACCCAGTAGTCATTGTTTTTCTTTAAGTTTCTTTCCTTTGAACTACACCACTGATGATGGACATTTAGTCAACGAAAGTATCATTCACCCAGTAGTCAATGTTTCACTAATTTACTAACACTGAATCGACACCACTGAAGATTGGCTGTTAGTCCATGGGGTATTATCGACAGAGTAGTCAATGTTCTCTTTTATTTACAACTATTGGATCGACACCACTGATGATGGGCTGTTACTCCATGATGGTATTTATCACCCAGTAGTCCATTTTTCTCTTTGATTTACAACCATTGGGTCTACACCATTGTTGATCGACTGTTACTTCATGAAGGTATCATTCACCCAGTAGGCAATGTTCTGTTTGGTTTACAACCATTGGGTAAACACCACTGATCATCGACTGTTACTTCATGAGTATATCATTCACCCAGCAGTTAATGTTCATTTTGATTTACAATCATTGGGTCAACACCACTGATGATGGACTGTTAGTTCATGAGGGAATCATTCACCCAGCCGTCTATGATCTCTGATTTACAACCATTGGGTCGACACCACTGATGATGGACTGTTAGTTCATGAGTGTTTCATTCACTCGGTTGTCTATGTTCTCTTTGATTTACAACCATTGGGTCGTTACCACTGATGATGGACTGTTAGTTCATGTGGGTATCATTCACCCGGTCGTTTATGTTCTCTTTGATTTACAACCATTGGGTCGATACCACTGATGATGGACTGTTAGTTCATGATGGTATAATTCACTCAGTCCTCTATGTTCTCTTTGATTTACAACCATTGGGTCGATACCACTGATGATGGACTGTTAGTGCATGAGGGTATCATTAACCCAATAGTCAATGTTCTCTTTGATTTGCAACCATTGGGTTAACACCACTGATGATGGATTGTTAGTCCATGAGGGTCTGATTCAACAAGTTGTCAATGTTTCCTTTTGATTCAACAAGCTGGCAATATTTCCCCTTGATATACAATCATTGGTCGACACCACTGATGATGGACTGTTATTGCACGAGGGCCTGATTCAACAAGTTGTCAATGTTTCTTTTTGATTTACTACCATTGGGTCAATACCATTGATGATGGAATGTTAGTTCATGAGGGTATCAGTTACCCAGTTGTTAACGTTCTCTTTGATTTACAACCATTGGGTCAACACCACTGATGATGGACTGTTAGTTCATGAGGGTATCATTCACCCAGTCGTCAATGTTCTCTTTGATTTACAACCAATGGGTCGACACCATTGATATTGGTTTGTTACTTCATGATGGTATCATTCACCCAATCGTCTATGTACCCTTTGATTTACAACCATTTGGTCGACACCACTGATGGTTGACTGTTACTTCATGAGGGTACCATTCACCCAGTCAGTTGTCAATGTTATCTTTGATTTATTACGTGTGTATTGCACGAATTGCTGGTACATTATTACGAGTTCGTGCATTGTTAAGTTTTTCTTCTAGACTTTTTGTAATTTGAACATATGTTTAGTACTGTACGTTATAAAACAAATATGAGAATTTAGGTCAATTCGGTGACAATGAATTTGACAGGTAATGCCCCTGTAATGCTGAAATTAGTTTTTCTTCTAATTTTAAAACAATAATAGTAATAATAAAAATAGAAATAATGATAATAAATTCTTTATTTTCAGAAGGTTACACGGTTTACAAAACAGTTAAACCGTCCCGTGACCTTTCTCATCTAGATATTAGATAAAATATGATTTTGATATAAATGATAAATAAACAAAAGAGTAATAGATAAGCAAAAAATACTAATACAGTGTATGCAAGAGCACATATATAGTCCCGAGTATATAGTACAGGTTGACAAATACCATTGACTTAAATAAAAAGTATGCTATAAGCTTATAGTAAAATTATGACATTATAACTACGAAAATATTCGTTTAGTATTTTCTAGAGATAAGCTTGGCATTCTGTTTTAAAAACATTTGCACTTTTACTTTCTTTCAAATCTAAAGGTAAGGAATTCCACAACAAGATTTTGAAAACGTATATCCTGGCATGGTAAGACCTGAAAAAATAGCCTTGCCTAAAACGACATATGAAAATGAATATTCTGCGATACCAAGTACAGGAATCAATCGTGTACAAATGTGCAAATAATTTTCTCGCGTCACGTCCTCGGAAAAACAATAAGCATGCGTAGCATCAGATGACAATGAAAATTCAATTTGGAAAAATCTTCCTGCACCCACCCACCACATGCCCCACCCCTTTTATCAAATGGTCGTCCCCTAATGCATAGTTATTAACAATTGAACAACTTGAAAAATTGTTCAGATAAATATTTACTGCCACTTCCATAAAATGTTTAATTTCTATTATAAATTATAAATTTTCTATTGTTTGAAAAGAGAGGCGAAAAATACCAGAGGGACATTCAAACTCATAAGTCGAAAATAAACTGACAATGCCATGGTTAAAAAAGAAAAAGACAAACAGACAAACAGACGAACAATAATACACAAAACACAACATAGAAAACTAAAGACTGAGCAACACGAACCCCGCCAATGATCTCATATCCCTTCTAAAAAAAATACTCAAACGATTGTACTATCAGATCAACTTTGTATTTCCATCATTTTCAATTTATTTATTTTTTTTTTTGGGGGGGGGGGGGGGTAATCATTATTATTATTATCATTAATACAATCAATCAAGAAAAATTAGAACAATTCATTGTAATTTATTCATTTGATATATTATATTTATTTATGTATGATTCATTGTAATTATTCTGCTCCTTGTGGGTGCTTTGATTAGAAATTAAAATCATAGATCTAATTATTCAGAAAAGATAGATGTTTGAACATGTTCGTTTCCCGCCATATGTCAAGGTATTGCACAACCTAGTAATTGTTTCTGTCAATTTTGTTATTCGTTGATATTTGTTTTTCTCTGCATTATAAAACGCTCAAATGACATTAGGAAAGTCGGTCAATATTTCTGGTTCTAAAAATAAGGCTTATACTTTGCATTGATTGGTTAATTTTTGCATCTGTAGCTATTTTGGGATTTGACGTTCGACACAGTATAAAAGCAGCCGGGATTCCCCTTATTTGCTCGTTGTTGCCTGCTCTCGTTCAGGTAGTCGGTGGTTGTTTGCCCTTGGACCGCCGCTACGTTTCTGAACAAAAATAAGGACTTGAATGGAAGAAGTGAGTATTTAAAGGCTCAAACGAACGTTCAATCTAACATTTACAACAATCTAGACAACATTTTTTAACGAAAAGTAGTCTAATTTAAAGAAAATTATCTCGATTCTTCTGACCTAATTTGAAACGAACACGAGGTGATCTGCCGGCCAGCTGATCAAATCCAATATGGAAGCCGACCAACATCTTGCGAATGATTATATTACCGATTTCGACTTAGATCAGTTATTGGATGCTTCAGAAGTAAAGAAGGAGATAGAAGATAGGTATAGCAACTGTTGTAAACAAAGTGATATGTCCTCGCGAAGTGGATCTTCAGGAGCGACCACACCTTGCTCAGATTTGAGTGTACCCCCTTCTCCAACTTACAGCGATGAAGTTCCAAGTCCTTCAGATAGTAATTCTAGTGTATTTAGCGGTCTTAACTGGCTTACCCAAAGTGTATTTGAAACTGACATGAAATTAAAAACAAGCTTTAGCAACAGTCAAAAGTCGACGCAAAGTCTGGAGGAGGAAATTGAAGAAGATGTAGATTGTTTGATATCATCCAGTCCAGAATTTGTTCAGAACTTTAGTAAATATTTGGTTTCTGGTGCAGAAGCTGGGAAGCAATCATTAAGTCGTCGGGACATGCTGGAAGATAAGGCAGCACCAACAAAAATTCCCTCAATTAAAAGATCTCTTAGTCATTCAAGTACAAGTTCTACTAAATCCAAAACAGAAGAAAGTCTTAATTCGCTTGAAGATGAAGAACTAGTTGCACTACCGGTGAGAGAACTCAATCGTCGTCTTCAAGGATTACCTAAAGAAGATGTAGTAAAACTTAAACAAAAAAGGCGAACATTAAAAAATCGAGGCTATGCTCAAAATTGCCGTTCGAAACGAATGCATCAGCGTCAAAGTTTAGAGGTGACTAATAAAACATTAGAAAGTCAAGTGCGTCAACTTCAAAGACAGCAAGCAGTTTTGATGCGAGAGTGCCGGTTCTACAAGCAGCAGTGTGAAATTCTCAGGGCAAAGTGCAGTGGTGTAAGTGTAAAACGCGACAGTGATGGATCTTTCTCAAGCTACCCAAGTTCTCCAGATTGTCAGTAAAATGTGTGAATGTTGTTATGTGTGAAATGAAAAAAAGTAATATGCTATCATCAATGAAACCTTGTCACTGCTTCATAGAACATTATGAATAAGAATCGAGTAAAATTATCATGACTATGGATGGATTATAGACAAATACAATTAATAAGTGCATTATTTGTTAGGTGTAAATATCTTCAGAGTTTATTTTAACACAGTAAATAATTTTCTTTCATGTATGTTATGAAAAAAAGAAACAAAAATTAGAATATAGCCTTTATCACTTGTTTAACATAGTTCATATTTAATATCATGTTTGAAGTACTGGTCTTTTTGCCATATTTGCATAATTCATTATTTCCATTCATAAATTGTAGTAGTGTAAATTTCACTAGATGTAGTGTAAGATAAATAGTATAGGACAAAAGAAGTTTCAAACTAGTGGTCCTCAATAGATTGATCAACAAAATTCAAATCATTTTGATTTTAAGAAAATCAACTTTACCGTTTAATACATGTACAGAATAACATAATCATTGCAATTAACAAAGAAATAATAATATCTAACTACAAATATTGCATATCAGTAAGAATTTAACCACAAATTCTCAAAAAAAATAAATCATACTTGGAAAATTGAATAATGTTGTTTATGCGAATGTGTATAGCTTTTAATGTTTGGTCCATATGGTGTCGTGTATCATATGGCTCACACTAATCATGTTATATTTTTGCAAGTGTGTAATTATTGTTATCAGTTTGTGTATACTTGTTGAACTTGATTAATACATTTGAGTGATATATATAAGTAAGTGAATGTTAAAATTTTATTCAATGCAATGGAGAGTAGAATATCAAATTTGAATTTTTTAACCTATAGCCTGTTTCATAAAAATTTGGTAATTTATGAACATTACAGTGTAATAATGGTGTATGTAATGAAATTTTAAGGAGGTCTTACTAAATTGAGTTGTATGAAACAGGCTATAGGTTGTTTACAATAAGGTAGAGAAAGGGAAAGTTTGGATATATTATGGGACACACTGCAAGGGCAACTATAGTTATAGTAATAACCAGTGTGATTACCAATTCCATCTGTGATATATATTGTTTTATCAGGGACTGCAAGTCTGGTTTTCAAGGTGCCACCCTTTACAGCTGGTGACATTGGATTTATTTTTTAAAACTAAAAGTTATCTCTCCTAGATACTGTATTATTATTAATGTGACGGTGAAAAAGGGTGGTAAAAGGTATCATGGTCTGTGTGTCTGTGAACTACGCACACAGTTAATACTTGAAATCCAGATTTGTAGCCGAGACAAATTTAATTTGTATGGGTTAACATATTTTTTAAAGTTAACATGGGGAGAGAATTTTACCGAGTTTGTAAGAATGTTTTTAAGATTCACCAGAACCTATTAAGGAGCGATTGGTAGAATCTAATGTTTTTATAACGAATTTGCCAGAGTATTTGGACAATTTTTATATATATGTTGTTTTGAATTTGTAAGTGCATGTACATGTTTTACTCAAAGGGTTTGATATACGAACCCCCCAAAAAAAGAATTGTTAAAAAAGAGCTACAACAACCAATACAACAAAAATTAAAAAAAATAATAATTAAAAAAAAATCCCTTACTGTTGCAACGAAGTATAAATCCTAGTGATAGAGAGGCATGATACTTAATATGTTTCAGATAATATAATGTTTGTGTAACAGATTTTTAAAGTTGCAGCAGATTTAGGGTAAAAAAAATAGTAAAAGAAAAGAAAAAAGAAAAAAAAGTTGTAAGCCAAGCTTTGCGAAGATAACCAAGCAGGTTGCTTCCAAAGTAAAATCTCGGATTTGCCAGTGAAAAGGATGACTCTTGAATTTTTAAACCTATGAAGTAGATTGGCTTGCCTATCTGCGTTGTTATTGTATTGTAAAGCAGTTAGGAATAGGCTAATCAGTAAAGAGATAGAAAAATATTGTTTTAAATCGCATGCCTTAATTTAACTTTACAAATAAAATATTTATGCCCTGTAGGTGTATTAATTACCCCAAAATAATTACTATTCTACAGAACTACTCATTATATATATGTAAGCCAATATACAATCCATTAACCGAGTTTTTAATCTTCTTTTTATGCATCAAAAGATGTGGCCGTGACTGTTGAAGTTTTATTGAATGATCACACATTGGATATATTTTTAATGTTTATTGATTATGATATTATTTTCCCTACATATTGATCAAAGGCAGCACCACATGGCTTTTAATTTCAGTTAACAAAGGTGTATTTGGAAAAAAAAAAAGGGGGGGTTGTTTTAGGCTCTCGTGCATTTTTAGAGAGATGATATGTCATTTTAATATTTTTTATCTTTCATGTATATCCCATGTCGCATCCAACTACATGCAGTGAAGACACATTAGTGTTGGTTATTTAAACAAAAAAATATTGTTAATAGGGCTTTAAGTTACATAATGGCATGTTTCATAACTAAAATTCGATTGTAATGTAGATTTGCATACAGTATTATAAAAAGTCCTTGTAAGGAATATGCTAGAACAGGCATATCAAAATTTCTTTCAAAGTTATATTGACTAAATAACTATATTTTGTTGAACCATGTGTTGGTTCTCTGATATTGATTTTTATGTTTGTTTGTACAGTATTTACTTGGGACAAATCTATTTAAATTTCCTCTCTAATTTCTATTGACATTTTTACTTCACTGAACAAGATAAATGAGAAACCTATCTATTTGAGAAGTACAAAAGTTGAATTATTATAAGTAAAGTAACTTTAACACCTAAATAATGACCTACATGTACAAATGGGGAATTCAAATATATGTTTTGTTATTTTTCTGTATGAACAATCCTTTTGCTAAACATGATAAAGGAAATATTTTTCAATTGATTTTGATGTGCATTTTTAATGTGTTCATTGGGGTATATAACTGAAATATAGATGAAGGAAGTCTATGAAAATGGAAGCTTTATAACTTTTAAAACTTGCAAATCATTTCTTTAATGTTTTAAGTCCTGATAATTGTTTTAAATTGAGGTTTTAAATTCCTCAGGAAAACTAGTGTGCCAAATAAAGCTAATTTGGAAGTTCAAATTACTGACCCAGGGGCCCAGAAGTTCAACTTTTATAATAAAATATTGTCTTAGTTGAACTGGCGTGTTCATTATAACAATTTACAGTCTTTCATATTGAGTCTAATAGAACTGTATTCTGATCAATCTTGTATTGTTAATTGTTACAATTTGTTGATTGTTTTGTTTCTGAAATCTTGTTATTGGTTATTGTAAAAAAAATATACTTATTATTAAACTTGGAAAATACTAAATATTTTTACCAAGTGTGTGCAGGGGAAATGTGATAAAAAAAAATTGAATTAACTGCTCCCTTCATCTGGAAATACAAATATTTATAGAGATGTTGGCCCAATCATATGGATTGAATCAGAATTTATGCAAAATTTTGAAACTGAAGTTAAATTATTTCATGATATCCACTTTTTTCAGCATTTTAAAGAAGTCGGTCATTAATTTGTAGTTATAAAACTGATTCAAGAGTCACATTTCCGGCTGCAGATCTATTTAGTTTTTTCTATGACAACTTGCAGCTGAGTCTTATGTCTAAAATGTTGTGAAATTAACATGCAAGTTCAAGAAATGTGCTGAAAAAAACTTTCATACTGGCAAAACAAGTATTACAAAATTATTATTTATGTTGCATTTGTGACTGATTAAACCTTTTTTACGGTCGACTGAAGGCATTTAATCAAGTACATCAGGTTTGTGTGGTTAAAACTCAGCTGCAGATTGCCTGTTAAGAATTGGCAATTGGCTATAATGAGATTTGTATTGTATAATTAAAAACAGTTGACTTTAATGTGATAAGGAAAAGTGCTGGTTGTTTGTTACTATCTGCTTTACAAATACATGTAAAATGTATAAATTATGAAGCAAGATTAAAAAGCATGAAAAAAACTAAAGTATTTTATTTATTGTCCACTATCACCATCTCAGCATTAGAGATGTGAAAAACATTTGTGTATTTTTCTCTTTAAGAAAGTACAAGATGTATATATGCCAGTTCAAATAGGTCAGTAGACTAGATTATGCGTTCAGTGGGTTGATTTAACATGTCAAGATTTGCTAAAATTAATTATGTTATTCTACTTATGAACAGATGTGGTGTAAATGTTAATGAGACAGCAACTTGAAAATAAAAGTAGATAAAAGTAGACATGTAGAGGTCACTGAATGATCCTCAACAATGAACTAGTTGGATAGGGATCAAGGATTTTGAAAAAGGGGGCCTTCAAAGTCGACAAATTTAGGAGCAGAACATGCAAAAAGTCTATTCATTAATCACATACGTAGCTCCTCAAAGGGGCAAACAATCCGTCTCTGCTAGTGTCTACATAACGAGGAGATCAAAACTAACCCCAAATAAATAAGATTTTTTATTCAACAGAGGGGACCGATTAGTAGACGCCAATCTAAATAAAAAAATTGAGCAGGTGCCCTGCCACCTTGGTATCTTCTGCCTCTGCCAGTAGGTCAGTGTTCTTGGCAAGCCCCCTCTGCCAGTAGGTCAGTGTTCTTGGCAAGCCCCCTCTGCCAGTAGGTCAGTGTTCTTGGCAAGCCCCCTCTGCCAGTAGGACAGTGTACTTGGCAAGCCCCCTCTGCCAGTAGGACAGTGTACTTGGCAAGCCCAGGTCATAAGTTCATGTAGAATGAAACGGGAAAACTGGCATACAGTTCTTTACTTGACACACAAGTTTTCTGTCATACTACATGCAAGGTTGAACACATGGGTTAACATCTTTTGTTGTGTGGCAATACTAGAAACAGAAGTCAGTATCATTATGAATTATTAAATTTATGTGTCAGAATGTTGGTTTGTAGCATCGCATGTTAATGGGATAAATTACCCCCTCCCACTGTAACCGTAAATTGATCCTCATTCAAAGGAATATTTACATTTCCCTACAAGTTTTGTTGGATTTACATGCAGTTATAATTGAAGTATTACATGTGGAACTGATGCCAAGGTACGAGTAAAGGAGACACTTGAAAGAAAATGAAAAACAGATTGAGAAAAATGTAAACAACCTTGTGATAATGAGACAAAAATACATGAAGTTGTTCGTCTTGTATGGAATATCAACTACATAGCTGTTGCTAGACACCAAACATTATGTTTACACATTATTTTATGTTACCGAATTATCGATGACTAAAGAGACGTCAATCTAATGGAAGTGAATTCACATATAGAGAGTAGATCAATTAGGTGTTCAACTTTTCAAACTAAGGCATTATATACATGGAAAGTAGGTCACATTCACCTATTTTTAGAAATAATTGCCACAGGAGTTAAATAAGCAGCAATCAATCAACCTATTTTTCAACGACTGCAAAATTTTTGTAATGTATAAATTTTGGTATGACGTCGTCGTCCGAAGAGATTTTGTTTCCAGACAATAACTTTAGTATAAGTGTATAGATCTCTATGAAATTGTACCACAAGGTTCCATACAACAAAAGGAAGGTTTGGGATTGATTTTGGTGGTTATGGGAGTTTGGGCAAAAAACAAGGATTTTCTGGTTTCCGGACAATTCATGACTTGGAGTATAAATCTATGGCCATGATCTCTGTGAAATTCTGCCACAAGGTTCCATACCAAAAAAGGAAGGTTGGGATTGAATTTAGGGAGTTATGGTTCTAACCGTTTAGGAAAAAGGGTCCAAAAACTACTTTTTATGCCCCCGCCGTGGCAGAGGGGCATTAAGTTTTACCCTTGTCCGTCTGTACGTCCGTACGTCCCAAAGTTGGTTTCCGTTCTCTAATAACTTTAGTTTGCCTCAACCAAATGTAATGAAACGTATACACAATGCTTATTACCACAAAATACAGATCGAGTTTGAATTTTTGTGACGTCACTATAACCGTTCTAGAGTTATGCCCCTTTACAAATGGAAAAAAAAAATTGCTGAATTTTTCGTTTCCGTTCTCTAACTTTAGTTTGCCTCAACCAAATGTTTTGAAACTTATGCACAAATACTTATTACCACATAATAAAGTTCAAGTTCCAAATTGGGTGGCGTAACTTTTACTATTCTTGAGTTATGCCCCTTTATAATCATAAAAAATGCATTTTTTTTGGTTTCCGTTCTCTAACTTTAGTTTGCCTCAACCAAATGTTATGAAACTTATACACAATGCTTATTACCACATAATACAGATCAAGTTTGAATTTTGGTTGAGTCACTTTCACAGTTCTAGAGTAATGCCTGTTTACAAATGGAAAAATTGCTGAATTTTTCGTTTCTGTTCTCTTAACTTGTTGGCCTCAACCAAATGTTTTGAGACTTATACACAATACTTATTACCACAAAACTCGGATCAAATACAAATTTGGGTAGTGTCACTTTTACCGTTCTTCATTTATGTCCCTTTATAACTTTATATGATATGCAAGCGGGGGCATCATCTGTATCCCATGGACATATTCCCTATTTATTTTCTATTAATTTGTATAAATTGCATATTTCTTGACCAATTTCAATGGGTCTTCAATTCTTGGAGTTCCTTAATATGCTGAATCTAACCGTGTATGTAGATTTTGGATTATGACCCCCGTTTTTAAATTGGTTCACATTGAGGTCCAAATGGTCCAAAATTAAACTTTGTTTGACTTCATCAAACATTGAATTATTGGGGTTCTTTGAAATGTCGAATCTAACCATGTATTTATATTTGGGATTTTTGGTCCACATTTAGGTCCAAATGGTCCAGAATTAAACTTTTGTTTGATTTCATCAAAAATCGAATACTTGGGGGTTCTTTGATATGCCGAATCTAACAATGTATTTAGATTTTGGATATTGGACCATAATAGGTAAATGTCCAATTTCATATTTTTAAGTTTTTTAGACCACCTCTGTGCCAGAAGCCTATGCTGTGTCAAATTCAGAGCTGTGCCAAGCTTGAATGTTGTGTCCATACTTGGCCCTGTTCGCGGTTCGACCTCTGCGGTCGTATCAAGCTGCGCTCTGTATTTCTGTACTGGTATTCCTCCATACAAATAGAATGAGGGTAAATCTTTGTATAACCCATTGCATTATTCTGACATACTTTGACCTCCCTCACCTGTAGAGAAAAGATCATGATATTTATGTAAGATCACCTTTAATGTGACAGAAATTACTCTTGGTAACTTAGAAACAAGATAAAAGTAGATCACTTTAGTCTTTGACACACTTTCTATTCTTCACAGACACAGGTTAGTATTTGCATCAGTGTTCATGACATGTAACATCAATTGAAATAGTATAAATATGTTCCTCGGCTTTATACTGAATTGTGTGACTGTTCGCTTACTTTGTTTACCTTCACTAGGAAAGCTCAGACCTCAATTTGGAAAGCTAAGAAAAGTAAAACGTACAAGGAGCAACACCCAAAACAAACTAAAAAATAAACCGCCAAAATCCTTTCAGATCAACATATTCCGACATATTTGAAAACTTAGTTTAACAAAATTTGTTTGAGTTGGAAAACTCATCTCATTTATGTTAAAACTCCTGCTCAGTGTAGAAACAGTTCTCTAGCAGTGGTATTAAATGAAATTACATACATACATAAATTGGTTCCTGACAGCTGAACAAACCGCAACATGGCAGCGGACCCACTGCGTCTTTGTGATTTTTATCTCGACCTCAACGAATGTCTCAGAGAGCTACTATTCATGATTAGATCAGTTTCTCTGTTTTAATAAGTAATTACTTAGTATGTAAAGCTTTATATTTTAGAAGATATACAGATCTTGAATAAAGATGTCTTATGATCTGAAGTCCAAGTTAGTGCATCAAGAATGATTTCCAAGGAAAACACGTTTTAGTGTTAAGGTCAAGTCGAAGTACTATAAATTATAGGAGTATAGAATCAATATAAGGTGTGCATGTTCCGTAAAGGATATATTTCTTTAACCGATCTAAGTAATCTCTATGGGATTAAGAAAGGATTTCCAAAACAAGATTTGGTCAGTGGTTAACGTGTGTTTTATTTGTGAAATATAAAAAGGGTTTGGGGATCCTCGGTTTGGTCGAAAAATAAATACCTACCAGGTTTTCTTACAAATATCTAGGCCTGTGTAAATGTCTGTATTTTTATTGTATTTACAGTGAGATTGTCGAGTATATATATATTTGTTTGATTTCTTTGTCCGTTATAAGTCTGACATTTGTCGATATTACCCCTCATCTGTGTGTTCTTCAATATACAGATCTGTATTTGTAAATGCTCTTTTGTTCCGACGTTGGAAAGTTCCGGGCGGAAAGAACTAACTAGCCGAAAAGTTCCGGAGGAACTTATTAACTAGTTACTTTGTTCTTCCTCTGGTTTAAAAGTTCCACCGGAACAAAGTGACTAGTTGAAAAGTTCCAACGGAACATACCAACTAGTTAGAAAGTTCCTTTTTGCCAAATTAGTCAAAACCGGAACTAACAAACTAGCCCAAAAGTTCCAACGGAACTTATCAACCAGGCAGAAAGTTCCATTTGGAGAATTGATGCAAAGTAAAAGCGCAACATATTATATTTGAACCTTTCAAAGGGAAACCAAGATACTGATTACAAAAGTCAAAAGGAACTTATCAACTAGCCACAAAGTTCCTCTTTGGCAAATAAGTCAAAACCGGAACTAACAAACTAGCCCAAAAGTTCCAACGGAACTTATCAACCAGTCGCAAAGTTCCATTTGGAGAATTGATGCAAAGTAAAAGCGCAACATATTATCTTTGAACCTTTTCAAAGGGGAACAAAGATGCTAGCCACAAAAGTCAAACGGAACTTATCAACTAGTCACAAAGTTCCTCTTTGTTAGGGTTAGGGTTAGATTAGGGTTAGGGTTAGGGTTAGGGTTAGGGTTAGATTAGGGTTAGGTTAGGGTTACGGTTACGGTTAACTATTCAACTAGCTACATTGT